CAAGAGGGTTGGCACAAGGGTTGGCCCAAAAGTTAGAGCAAGGGTTGACAAGAGGGTTGGTGCATGGCTTGGCACAAGGGTTGACACAGGGGTTGACGCAAAGGTTAGAACAAGGGTTGACAAGAGGGTTGGCACGAGGGTTGACAGAAGGATTGACAAGAGGGCTGACAAGAAGGTTGGCACAAGGGTCGACACAAGGGTTGACAAAAGGATTGACACGAGGTTTGACAAAAGGTTTGACACAAGGGTTAACACATGGGTTGACACAACGGTTGAGACAAGGGATGTCGCAAGGGTTGGCATAAAAAAAGTTAAAATAAGTTATAGCTAAAAGAATGTTATGTAATTCCTTATTTAATAGAAAGTCCAGTTGATTACGCAGTTCAGACGTTGTAAAAAAAGTATTCAATTTGAGACAACGCTGAAACAATATAAAAAAAAGAAAAAACAAAAAAAACAAACAAATAAAACAATTCATTATTAGAAAACAACACGATTAAAGGAAATGACACTACCCCCTTAACGAATACGATATCTTCGTAATCGATACCAATCTGACGCTAGATGAATACAAACACATTGTTGTAGCTAGAGCTTGTGGCGCCCAGGGCGGGACTAGCTTTTTGACCAGCCCCTTCCCTGAAAAAAAAACAACAACAAAACCCACACTTTGTCAGTTTGCCGAAAATGCCACCCCCCTTCATAAATAAAATCCCCCCCCCCCCCGACTCTCCCTTTTTCATTCGAAACTTAATACATGCACACGTCACATGAAATCATCGTGCTAACTTCTTTATAAAATATGAACACTGTCAAGTCACTGCAATCATTTAGTCATTATGTCTTTGTCTTCAAACAGAGATCAAGCGGTAACACTACAATCACTTAGTTAATATGTCCTTGTCTTCAGATAAAGATCATTTATGTCCTTGTCTTCGTACCAAAATCATGTATGTCCTTGTCTTCGTACCAAAATCATGTATGTCCACTTCTTCATACGAAGATCATTTATGTCCTTGTCTTCATTGGAAGATCATTTATGCCATTGTCTTCATACGAAGATCATTTATGCAATTGTCTTCATACGAAGATCATTTATGTCCTTGTCTTTATAGGAATATCATTTGAGTCTTTGGTCTTCATACAAAGCAAGTATAAATGAGTAAAACAAATTAGGGTTAAACCTGAAAAAAGTAACGCAACAAAACAACGAACGTGGCGGCAGGAAGTCTTCGTCTGCAAATGAATTGGCAATTCATTTGCTGCCCACGGATACCTCTTCTAAGCTAATTGCTATTTTAAAAATTTTATTCTGTTTTTTTCTGTTGTTTTGTTCGCTGACGAAGGCTTCCTGCCGACACGTTCGTTGTTTTGTTGCGTTGTTTTTATCAGGTTTAACCCTAATTTGTTTTATTCATTTTATATTTTGCTAACTTGATTGCGGTCTCTCCCCTTATTACCCTCGTCATACAAACATCAGCCTGTAACACTGCAATCATTTAGTTAGTGTGTCCTGGTCTTCATACAACGATCTGTTATGTCCTTCTTTTCATACGAAGATCAATTATGTTTTTTCTCTTCCTACAAAGATCAGCCGGTAACACTACAATAGTACTGTGCGCGCGCAACAAATTCTAATCTTTAAGTGTCGTGATGACATTACGCCTGTCACAAAACCCCATGTTTGTAATGTCAGCACCACTGACGCAAGCACACTTTAATTATTTTTAAAAAAAAAGAATTAAATTTTTTTTTTTTTTTAAATATGTTTATTTTTCGCCACCCCCCCCCCCCTGGGTGGGGGGGGTGGGGGTTGAAATATCTAGTCTCAGGATGTAATTAATTTCAATAACCAATAAACAACCATATTTTCTTTATCTCTTTACAAAAAATGTTTTTTTTTTTTAAATATCTGTTGTTTTTTTTAAAATATCTGTTGTTGTTTTTTTTCAACTTGTACATTTTGTGAAGGAGCCAATGCAACTAATCTATTTTTAGCTCCGTGTCGCCGTTTCCATAGATTGTAAAATATATCATTGCATAAGGTGTCTGAAAGACAAGTATCTGAAAGACAAGGTATATGAACGCTACGGTGTCTGAAAGACAAGGTGTGTGAAAGACAAGGTGTCTGAAAGACAACTATCTGAAAGACAAGGTATATGAAAGACAAGGTGTCTGAAAGACAAGGTGTGTGAAAGACAAGGTGTCTGAAAGACAAGGTATCCTGAAAGACAAGGTATCCTGAAAGACAAGTTATCTAAAATATAAGGTATCCTGAAAGACAAGGTATCGGAAAGACAAGCTATCTGAAAGACAAGGTGTCTGAAAGACAAGGTGTGTGAAAGACAAGGTATCTGAAAGAGACATCTGGCTGCGAGATGGCATATCAGGTGGATTGGATTCGAGACGACATTCCATGAGGTCCTGGGTGGCATTTCAGGGGAGGGGTGTGAGATGGCATTTAAGGGGGTGGGTGGGATGGTATTTAAGGTGATGGGCGAGATGGTATTTGACGGGGTGGGCGCGATGGTATTTAATGGGGTGGGTGGGATGGTATTTAAGAGGATGGGCGAGATGGTATTTCAAAGGGCGAGGGGCGGGATGGAATTTCAGGGATTCGAGATGATTCAATGGTCGTGATAAGGTTTTTCAGGGGGTGTTATATGGCATTTCGGGGGGGGGGAGGGGTAAGAGGAGCCATGGACTTCTACAGGGTGATATAACGTTTTTTGTGTGCTGTTTTTCAAATCTCTACATTTAAATTTTTAATGAAATTAGTCACACGTTTATTTTCTCAGTTCTGCAGTTCTCTTAGAAAACAATAAAAAAAATAATAAGAATTCCATTTTCCCATTTTTTGGAAACGCATTTGCTACTTAAGTCGGGATTCAGACAAACCATAATGGGGCGCGAGACTTATGCTCCACAGTTGCATTGTATAAAAAATTTTGTTTCGAAAAACCCAGCACTAATCATTTTTCTAACCAATGTTTCTATAAACAGTTTGTACTGAAGCATTTTGGTAGGACCTGATTGATTGCAATCTTTTCGTGCAATGATAGCTTGAAATAAAAAGCTTACAACATTTTCAAACCCATGACTAATATCGATGCTAATATATATATATATATTTTAATGTCTTTAATCTCTCTCCCGAATCCATTGTTTCCCGCGTACCTTTGTTTCATCCTCACAGAACATTGCATTCTCTTTCAAATTTAGTATCAGTCTGTAAAATATATCCCTGTGACCCTACCACTAGGTTTCTTTATCACTATTCCATTTATTTCTTACAAATTGTCCTTGTCCTTGTCCTCTTTGCTCTTTCCTCCCGCTTTCAAACCACTATCTCCTTGAAGTCGACCACCTCACGCGTTTTGAAATGACCAAGTTACTTTCTTTAAAAAAAAATAAAAAATTAAATAATAATTATTTCCGTGATTTCAAACGAAGAAGAGTGGTACAAATAACCCTCCATTACGGGCGCCGTTACTATTACACAGACGTTTGACGAAGCCGACCCCGGCAATTGTCCAGCAGTCAATAAACCTACTCACGTCAGGGCCCCCGGTGGGACGCCGTGTGGAGACACAATGAATCAACGGATGATCACACTATACACACGGGGATAATTTGTGTCAAAGTCAGGCGACGGGCATGGAGAAGGCCTTTGAAGAGACGTGAACCCTAAAAGGAAAAGGGTTGGGGGGTGTGGGGTGGGGGGATATTGATCGGTGAAAGGTTTTCGGTGTTCTTTAAAAAAAATGTTTTGTTAAATTCAAAATGTCTGGTCTTCAAAAGAAAGATCTAGTTGTTGCCGGTTTCGACCTTACAAAATAGCGATCACTATGTGGAGCAGCGTCATTTTATTACGGAGACAGTCGTTGGGGAAAGTAGGTGAGGAAACAGACACACCCATTTGTAGCCATGCATTTAGAGGAAAATCCGAGACAGCAACGAAGTCAAATCGTAGATGACTTTACATGCAGCCAGCGGTAACCGTGAACAATTGCGTAATCTGTAAGATTAACTGCGCAATCTGTAAGATAAAAAACTTCGGATCTGTAAGATTTCTGTGTGATCTATACCATTTCTAACTGTGTGATCTGTAAGATTTCCGTGTGATCTGTAAGATTTTTAACTGTGTGATCTGTAAGATTGTGATCTGTAAAATGCGCATAACCCAACAGCATTCTTTAGAAGAAAATAGAACTTATTCGAACGTTAGGAACAGATCCACCATCCAACGGAGAGTTCGGCAATAGGTCAGCGTAACACTTCTAACCGTTGAGTCCATATTAAAAATAAATAAATAATAATAATTAAAAATGGGGAGACAAATGGTGGTCGCCTCAGCTCTACGTTGTGGTGGTCGCCTCAGCTCTACGTTGTGGTGGTCGCCTCAGCTCTACGTTGAAGTAAAATTTTATCAAAACACATGCTATCACCAGTGAGATTTTTATATTTTGCTCATTGTAAAAAGTAAGTAATTTGTCCACTGCTCTCATAGCCTTAACTTGGTGGGCGAGCTTCGTGTGGTGTGGCAAGTGTTTAAATATCAAGGTCCAGATCATTAGCGAATGTCTAAAATCACGAGATTCAGGAATGCATCAACATTTTTAAAATGTAACTTTAAATTAAGTTGAACCAACATACAAATACAACTGATTTTAATCGCAGTATATGTGAATGGTGTTTTCTTAAAATCTCACTTTTCTATCTAAAAAAAAATGTATACAGTTGCTAGGAGATTTCTTTATACGGAGTAATTAAAATGGGCGCAAAACATTGAAATTCAAAAGACATCTAATTATAAAATTGTTAGGGAAGACATTAAGAGTTTTTGGAAGGATTCGATTACCCGTGTATGTGAATAACAAAATTTCACAATAATTAATATTGACTTCATTGAATTTCCAAGTAGGAAAACTTCATTTCCGCCCATTGTGAAACTTGTAAACGACATTATCGCCACCTGACCGGCAGCTCGCGCTTTGTCTTCATTTGTTTCTTGTACTCACCTTTGTGAAATCCCCGAACATGAAACCCTGCTCCAGCCCCACGAACACCACCATGGGCATCAGCAGCAGGCATTTGGTGTCCTTGAGCATCTTGACCGTGGACAGGCACAGCTCCCACGACGACTGGGAGAACTCGGGGTCCGCCTCCGTCTTGCCGACGTGGATCTGATCCAGGAGCGACATGACGACCACCGCGGCCATGACCCCGCACGCCAGGTACGTGGTCAGCAGCATGTAGCGGGTCGACTCCGAGATGGACGCCCCGAGGTCGTTGATGTCGTTGCTGTAGGTGCCGTCGGCCGGCGAGGCGATGATGCCGTTGAGGTAGTTGCAGGTGCTGGCCCCGCAAGAAGATCGCAACTCCTTCGCGGTCACCGACGTCGTCGGAGCCGAGGAGTTTACCGTGACGCGATCGTTCATGGCCGCGTAGGCAAGGAAACCTCCCGGCGAGGTCGAATTGCAAGGGGGGCTCCCTTCCCAATCCATACTAAGGTCAAAAGTTGCGTTCGAGGACGAGTCGGTTTCGTTTCGCGTCAGTATGAGAGTTGATATGATGTTCCCCCAAATCTGGCTGCAGCGGTAGAACCCGAAGAACACGCCCATGAACTGGTTGATGACGTCGTCCGACTCGAAGATGATGCGCCGATGTTGGGCGTAGGTGAGGGCGAGGGTCGTGACGTAGGTCGCCTGCGCGCTCCACATGGGGCCGGCCAGCCCGCCCAGGATGACGCTGAGGGGGATGATGATGAAGTGACGCGGGTAGAAGTTGGCGGCGAAGTAGGCGGTGAACAGCGAGAAGGCCAGCACCATCGTCCATTTCGTGGTCATCCGGTTGATGAGCCAGGGCGCCATAAGGCAAGACAGCACCGTGGTGCCGTAGATGACGCTGAGCGACACGACGCCGAGGCCGCCCTGGGGGTGCAGGCTGCTTTGTAGACTCTGCGGGATATAATTAGACAAGAGATTAAACATCATTGTCATTAAAAAAAAAGTAACAACAACAACATGATTACAAATAACAAAACTATGTTAAAAAACATAACAGTAGATAATAAAGTTCAATACTCAAGGAGGTCGAGATTCTATCTCTTAGGACCTCGGCCATGAAACATGGCCTAGTAGTCCCTGGGGACGCCGGCCATGTAACACGGTCTCGAGTAAAAGGAGTGTTGGGCAGTTTGCTTCCACTCATGAGGGGACAGTTTTGCGTCACGACCCCCCTTGCCCAATGAGTCTTGCGGTCTGGACGTTGGGTTGGAGCGGCTTTCCTTCCTCTCCGGGGATGGCGTTGCGTTGCCTCCCCCACCGCCCAGGGAGCCGTACAACAGTACATACTCAAGAGTTAAGGTTAATTGTCGGGATGTACACCTACTGAAATCATTAAAAAAGAAAAGAACCAAAAGAGCTTATTTCTCTAAAAATAAACATCACTAAGAAGCATTTAACAAAACATCAAAACGTCTGTTTATGGGCGAAGATTTGGTGTTTATAATAATAACAACATATCAACATATATTCAGGATCACCCAAAAAGGGGAGGGCTTGGGGAGCCAGTATTGTGTTTTATTTATTACTACATATTTGTGATTTTAAAAAAAAAATTCCTTCAAGTGATTTTCTGTGAAAATGACCTTGACTTTGATCGCACAACATAGAGCCGGATCAGCCTCAAGGGAAATGAGGCACGTGCCAAAGGGCTCCGCTCTGTTATGAGCCCTAAGCCTTTTAGCGGTCTCCATAAAGAAATATGATTTTTTTTATGGCTGTGATCTTGAAAGAACTCCAAATATCACTACAAAACAACCTTATAGACGTGGAGAAGATCAAGAAGTAAGGGAAATAACACGCGCCGAACATTTATTTTGTGCGGCATTTTGAGCGACTGCCATTGTTAGGCACTGTTATCAATATGGGGCAATTGATCTCCTATTAAAGTATATGGCTCGTTCTACAAAAGTGCACAACAAAAGTTGATACCATAAATTAAGTACAATAACAAAGCATACGATACTCAAACCAGGGCTAATTACAATTATATTTTTTATTATGTTATTTATGAATTTTAAAAAAATAAAAATAAATAAAATAAAGCTATTGACTTATAGTATAATGATTGGCTTGTACCGGTGCAGTGTCGAAGAAGATACAATGTTGTAAAAATGTACAATAATGAAAAGGAATCTACACACACACACAGTAAACAAATTTCTGTCTCGTATAGCAAAACAATAGTACCCGATCTCTCGGCCTCATATAGCCTGTTTCATAAATACTTCGAGAAGAACTACGCAATGTAATTATTTCTCAAACCTTCTACATAATACTACAAAATTCTAATAATAAACAGACCATATAGTTTAGTTAGTTGTAACAGCGGTCAAAAGGGGACTACAACTACTAAGCCACACCCTAACAATAGCGCAGCCGAACTTGGGGTCAGCTTTAGTTCATTCACAAGAAAAGATGAATGAAAGTTAAATGAGACGCATATAACAGTCATCGTGTGAAGATGACAGGAGAGAGAACAAAGTTGGGTTTCATGATGACAGGAAAGTTGAGAGAGAGAGAGAGAGAGAGAGAGAAATCAAAGTTGCGATGTCATGATGACAAGAGAGGTGAGAGAGAGAAGTAGAAAGTTGGCGTTTCAAGATGGCAGTTTAGGTGAGAGAGAGAGAGAGGGGGGGGGGAATCAAAGTGTTGAAGTTTACACGGATACGGCTTGCAAAGAGACAACCGACGAGTTCCTTGAACCCATCCAATGCGTAAAAAAAAAAAAAATGAAATTTTAACATTTATAAACGAGAAATCATCTAGTGGAAAGTTCGAGCGAATTTTTCGGTTTCGATACCGTCTGCTGTCAAAGCTAAAAGTTCAAGTTCCCCCACCAAAACGCTTTTTTTTACACACACCCCCCCCCCCCCCCCCCCCCCCCCCCCCCCCCTTTTCTCCTTTTCAATTTTTTTTTTTTTTTTTAAAATTTCAAGTCCCCCCCCCAAACCCTTTTTTTTTCCCCCCCCCCCCCCCCCCCCCAATCCGCTCTCGTTCATTTTTCGAGATTCTAATTGTTTGTTTTTTTTCCCTTCCAAATAATGCCCAAATAACGCTCAAAAATGCCCAAGTGTTGTTTTCTTCATCGAGGGCCCTCCACCTCATTAGAGTGAACGGAAAAGCTCACCTTCACAAAAGCAAAAAAGTCCCGTATAGGGTATTGATGAACTCCATCGCATATTGATTAACTCCATCGCATGTGTTGACCCGTCATAACCGACTCACGTCATCGGTCATGCTATTTGACCTTGGAACAACCGTCACCCACGCGGGCACCTTCACACCGCACAGCGCGCACGACCTGGACGCGCCATCATTCACGCAAGTCATATGACCTTGACACTTGACACGCCATCATTCACAGAGGTCATATGAAATCGATACAATACATAATAACGTAAATGGCATACCACAAAATATGACGTCACAAGACTCTTAGTTTACAAAGTTTAATTACTTTCACCAGTCCGACGAATCTCACTAAGGTTTCATACGTCTCACTAGTATCATGAAGTATCTTATGTTTCACTCGTCTCACTGTGAGCACTAAGTTTCATTAATGTCACTAGTATCACTAAGTTTCATTAATTTCAGTATCCCCACTAAGTGTCAATAATTTCACTAGTCTCACTAAGTGTCAATAATTTCACTAGTCTCAGTAACTGTCAATAATTTCACAAGTCTCACCAAGTGACATTAGTTTCGTTTAACGTGAAACGTAATTTTTCCTAATAACTGTTTATCGATTGTGATGTCAGTAGGTAACCTTAAGTTAATTGTTGACATCCCTATCATCTCTTAAGAGCAAGATTTGTCTTAAGTGACAGATCCACAGTTGTCACATATGTAGACTTATCTAGTCGGCAGTAAACGGTTGTGTTTGTTTCAAACACCCAAACCACAACACTGGTTTTTGAATTTGCGAAGCGGCCATGTCGATTATTGCATACTGAATAGATTATTTCATTTTTACAGGACGTTAGAAACTGACTTGATCTCCTTGCTTGTAATTTTTGTCTCTTATTATTTTCCTACTCTAAGAGGACGATATTGGAAGAGCTCACTTAATAGCTGTTGTGCAACTAAAACAGTTCACATTAACAAACTGTTATGCCACCAAACCACGACTTTCATCTCGACCAGTCAGCGCTTCGTACGTTAAGAAAGAATTTGAAGCCGTAATACCTGATTAAGATTTGATGATAATAGGCGACGGGACAAAGAAATGCCAGACAGTAAGGAGTTATTGATCGAACGCCACCAGCCCCCCTCCCCCCTTTTCCCTCCACCCCCCTCCCCCCTTTTCCCTCCACCCCCCCTCCCCAAACCTTCCATATTCACTCAACTTCACTTGAAAGAAATTAATTTTTTTTTTTGTTTTTTTTAGTTGTTTTTTTCTTCAAAAAAAGCTGTTTGTCGGATTTAGAAACACTAATTTATTGATCGAACGCCACCAGCCCCCCTCCCCCCTTTTCCCTCCACCCCCCTCCCCCCTTTTCCCTCCCCCCCCCCTCCCCAAACCTTCCATATTCCCTCAACTTCACTTGAAAGAAATTAATTTTTTTTTTTGTTTTTTTTAGTTGTTTTTTTCTTCAAAAAAAGCTGTTTGTCGGATTTAGAAACACTAAGGCTATTTACAATATTCAACACACAGAACTGTTGACAAACGCAGGGAGAAGTAAAGGATGTGCAATGCCGATTAGAAACGATTCTTTCTGTAAACACATGGTTTTCAAACACGACCAACAAATGTGCATTACATTTTGATAGATTGTGTGTGCAGTTACTGGTGACAATTTGAATCACCTGAGGTGTGTGCCGCTAGTAATGACAATTTTGATGGACCTGAAGTGTGTGCAGTTATTAGTTAAAATTTTGATAGACCGGAAGTGTGTGCAGTCATTAGTGTCAATTTGATAGACCGGAAGTGTGTGCAGCTATTAGTGACAATTTGATAGACCGGAAGTGTGTGCAGTTATTAGTTAAAATTTTGATAGACCGGAAGTGTGTTCAGTCATTAGTGTCAATTTTGATAGACGGAAGTGTGTGCAGTCATTAGTGTCAATTTTGATAGACGGAAGTGTGTGCTGTCATTAGTTACAATTTTGATAGACCGGATGTGTGTGCAGTTATTAGTTAAAATTTTGATAGACCGGAAGTGTGTGCAGTCATTAGTGACAATTTGATAGCTCCCCATAAATCAATGCATCTCCCCTTCTTACTTACTTATTGTTGCTCCAAGGGAAAATATTTGAGATTAAACAAAGACACTGTCATCTCTTTTTACACCAATTGAAATGATCGTAGATTTAATTGTGTAACACCTTAATGTAGCGTCTTAATGTAGCGTCTTAATGTAGCGTCTTAATGTTGCGTCTTAATGTAGCGTCTCAATGAAGCATCTCCAATTAGAATATGGGAGTAGGATTTAAAAAGTGTATGTTAATATTTTATGATCAATCAAGGGAAACAAATGTTAAAATGTACATTGAAAGTTGACATTGTCTGGCAACAACAAAAAAAAAGGAAAATTTGTAAAAAAAATTGTCAACCATTTCTACTCCTGCGATAAACTTCTTCCCATCAACGGATCGGTTTGTCTCAATTTGACGCACTCTAAATTTACACTGACAAATTTTTCCGGATGCTAAAAATAATCTCCCCCCCCCCCTCCCAACCTCCCTTAAACTTGACGGATCACATGTGTATAAAACACTGACATGTGCATTCCATCTTGTGGGATTTCTTTTAAGAGCATTCGGCGGCCAAGCTAGATGAGGGGCAAGAGAGCGTCATCAAAGGTCTGATGATAATGCTGAGCCAATGCGATCTGACCAGAAGGAGAAAAAAAAGTGTGTGTGGGCGGTGGGGGTTTGGGGGGAGGTTGTTAAACAACACAATGACACGTCATTTATGTGTCAACACGCAGGACGTCACGTGGACAACTCTCATTAGAGCCTCTGAGTGGA